TCTCTGATTAGCAGGAGATGGCGCTGCATGTATTATCAATTTCTTGAGGAAATGTGGTGTAAAATCAGCGATTCCATAAACAGATGTTTTTAAACTTTAATGTGCTTCCTTTACGAGTGTATTAGTTTGAATTATTGAGTATCATATCATTTCCTCTAAGTTGTACTGTGCAATTAGTTCCCATTCCATCAGTGGAATATACACTCCGGTCTTACCTCACCAAAGTGAATTATTGATCTATATATCATCTATTGCTTGCATATGCTTTTTTTCTTGTTACTGCAACAAATCAAATTGAATAATTTCCCAGGTCCAGAAGAGAGTTTTATTACAGATCCTTGGTGAAGACTGTCACCATTCACCAATTTCATGACCTCAAAACAACGAAAACCTGCCCATTCTACATGAACTAGAGTCCGTGGAAGATGTTGGACAAAGTAATGAAGAAATTCATGTAGGCGTGTGGAATGGGGTGTGGAAAAAGCAGGTTTAGGTCCCATAATCGGAGCTGTTGGATAAATTAATTGTAGGTGTGTATCCGATGGGTTATGGAAATATAGCAGAGTAATGAGAAATCCGTTTCAAATCCAGATGAGAATGCATGTTATTGTTCTTGAAAGATGCTAAGGTTACTGTAGAAGCTCGGAGCCAAAATAACGTGCAAGTGAAATAAGAAATTAATTAGTTCTGTAATAAGGTCAAGTCCTTGCGGCTTGCTCGGTATGTGATGAATCACATCGATGTTGATTGGAAACTTAAAAGACTGGTTTTTGCTGATTGCCTTTGTCTTTGACACTGTAAAGCTTATCTGCAATTGATGATATTAGGAGACTAATAATTCCACCTGTACGTTTACCATAATTCCATGGATGATCTCATCTTCCCAGATTGTTAGAAGTAATATAATGTTATTATATATCTTTTATTCTCTGCAATTAGTTAGAGTTGTAAAATAGTAAACAAAAGCGATGCTCTTGCATATCCGCGTGTAAAAAACTTACTATTATATTTTGATCTATGAACTACAAAATTGATGGTTAAGTTGAAGCTCGTTAGATATTTAAGTACATTTTTCATGAATGGGTCAAATTTACATTTTTAAAAATAATTTTTATATTTCACAAACAAAGTTAGTACTTTGTTGTTATATGAATTTAAACCAAATTCTTTACCTCCAAATACATTTTTTAAAGATAATGAGTATTAACTTGTTGGTCTATACTCTTTTTTTTATTTTTTTATTTTTTTCAAATAGCTGTGTGGCATAGGTTATGCACCCAAAAACAATGAGGACATCCCCCTATTCTACACGAACCGGATCAGTGTGGAATTTATAGCATGCCTATGAAATTAAAGAAAATTACGCAGGCGGAGGCGTGTGGAATGGGGCATGGAGAAAGCATCTTTCGGACCCATCCGAGTTGTTGAGGAAATTAATGATAGGCGTACCCAATGGGTTGTGGAAATATACAGTATAGTGTGGAAGACTTTGGATTAAGAAAATGGAGACTCGATGCTGACATACATGCGGAAGTTTTTATTTTGATAATAAGTTATTTTTTATATAACAAGAAGTTATATAATAGGGATATATACCTTTCAGTTTCTCATAATTTTTTTTTTTCATTTATTTTAAAATTTAAACTTAAAATTGCTAATTTAAATGCTTAAGTTCTAAACACTTCAAACACCCTAAGCTGCCGACTTTGAAATAAGGTGTGGATAAAGCATGTTTAAGCTTAATTTAATAATATTGATATATAATTATAATTGTAAGTTTTAAAATTTTTTTTAATATCTTAAAAATATATAAAATATATTTAATATATTTAATATTTATTTTAATTAATATTTTATATATTTTTAAATTGATAAAAACACATAAAAATCAAAAAAATCAAAAAATAAAACACTAAGAGGGATTGTGAAACGAAACCTTATCGTCCCATCATTGTCCGGTGCAAAGTTGATACTCTTTGCATGGCTGGTGGATGTTGTAGCATAATAAAGTGTTAAAATCCACGTAATATTAATTCACTTTATTAATTTATTTCATTATTATCAATTTTCCTTCATATTTTTACGTAACTCCAATCTAACTGATTTTAGAGTTATGGTGTGTTATGTTTCAATATCAATTCACTATTGTTCAAAAAAGTTGTATATTTCACAATCCAAACAGATAACTATTATAGCCAAAATATGCACGGAATGCATTAGGGTGGCAAATCATGTATTTTGGTTACATTATGACTACCAATAAAATTGTTAAGGTTACTAAAATAGTGGTAAAAAATGTTGATTTTATTTAATTTAATTAAGAACTAAAACTTTCTTTGTTTTAAAATAATAATTATTTTTTAACTTTTTTTCAAATTAAAGATTTAAAAATAATATTTGTATTTATCTATAATATCCTTAAAATAAGAATAAAAATTAAAAAGAGACTTTTGTGATTAGATAATTAATTAAAGTGAATAAATAATAATAGGATTAAAATATATAAAAATATTTATCTATCTTAAAAAATAAAAAAACATCAATTAATGTGGGACAAATTCAAAATTTTAAAAAAAAAGATAGTTGTTTTAGGATAGAGGGAGTAATTAATAAAACAATTGATATTAATTCCTCCCTCCATTAGTAAACTTAGTTTGCTTTTTTATTTTTAAAATATAAAATTTAGATAAAATTTAATAATATACATGAACAACAATTAAAATTTTTTTTGTACCTATATAATTCTTGTTAAATATTTTTATTTTATGATAAAAATTTTCAATTGTTGTTTATATAGATTGTTAAATTTTTATCTAAAATTTATGTTTTAAATGTCAAAAAATCAAAATAAGCTTACTAAAAATAAATAGGGGGAGTATTTTGCTTTCATTTGACAATACTCCTCGGTGCTTTAGTTTTTTATTTTTATTTATTTTTATTATTTTAAAATATATATAATATTAATTAAAATAAATATTAAATATATTAAATATATTTTTAAAATAATAAAAGCACATAAAAATTAGAAAATAAATCACCAAAAGAGATTATGAAATGAAACCTTACCGTCCCATCATTGTCCGGCGCAAAATTAATACTCTTTTTTTTTTTTTTTACGAACAAAATTAATAATCTTTGCATGGCTGGTGAATGTTACAGAATAATAAAGTGTTCAAAATCCACGTAAAATTAATTCACTTAATTAATTTAATTATTATCAATTTTCATTCATATTTACTACTCAATTGTATATTTCACAATCCAAACAGATAGCTATTTTAGCCAAAATATGCATCGCTTAATTTTAATATATTAGGGTGGCAAATCATGTGTTTTGGATGCAGTTACAATTACTAATAAAATTGTTAAAATTATTAAAACAGTGTTAAAAAATATTAATT